ATTTGGAATGATTTATAATATATGATTTATAATTCTATGATAAACTTAATCGACAATTTAGATAATCCACCAGCAATCAGGAACTGAAGGCTTCTCTTCAGTGAGGTAGAGACCTGAGTTGACACGTGCATCAGTGTATGAAGTCCCAGAATAACTGTCTCATGAGACACATACATAAGTGGCATCTCCTCATGAAGAGAGGATGTTTCCTGTAACTTAACTTTAAGGGTTAATTGACTAATACATTTCACATTAAACCAAAAATTGCCACAGAGGACTGACAGAAAAATGAAAGATTTCAGTCAGATGTAGCGCCTGAAGCAAACACTGAACTTTCTGCTTCAGATAACCCCAGCATCTGCGTATCTACCACTGAGAAAATGAGTACGTCAGTTTTGGGTCACATAAAGGGAAAAAAAATCTGAGAAATTCTCATGTTACCACTCTGCAATGCTTGAGCTTAATATTTTTCTCAATCAAAGAAGCAGATTCCAGATCTTAGAAATGACAGAGAAAACCACATTCCATTAGATTTTCTGTGATGAAGAAAAAAACAAATTCAAAGGCAAATAAAGAAGGAATAGTTTCATGTGGTTCAATGAGTCTCTCCAAATGCACAGTGTGACTAAACCTGGAAATACTTGAAATTGTTTAAATTTAAACATCTTGTCAACAAAATAGAAGAAAATATATTTCAGAAAAAAAGAGCGTGTCATGGATTTTTGGCTCCTTATGTTCTCAAAACTCCAGGAACAAACCTACTGCCTATACCTCTCTACTCAGCTGAAAACTTACAGTATTATTTGATAAAGTTTGGATGGGGGTTCCACAGCCCATCCCCTCATTGTATTTTCTCACCGTGTTTAACCTGACTTCAGCTTTACTTTTGCTATTTTTTTTGGATACTTCTGGCCAGCACTTAATAGATTTGACTAGACAGCTTCCATACATAGAAAATATTGTTTAACCTAAATGGCAGAATTTCAGTAAAGCAAAAGAAAGAACATTTCAAAAGGAACAAAGAGTCCATATGTGTTTATTTTTCTCAGTGCCTTACTCCAAGAGATGAAAAACAATTCTGAATTCTTCGGAGTCTCCTGTTATGCTCCTAAAAAGATGTCTCAGCCAGCTTGTTTTGCTAAAAGGAAAGCTTGGACAACTGCCTTTTGCAGATTCCAGAGAGGGAATTTTAAACATTGCTTATGTCCTTGTTATGGATTGTTTGGTTTACAACACCAGCAAAAGGAATCCTGTAACTTTGGCAGAAGTCTGTAAACAGTGTCTTCACATTTGATCTGAGAGATATTCCATCCGTACCTCTTCTACTACTTTTCTGGCATGCCTCTTGGATTGCATGTAGTTGTCCCTGCCCATGGCAGAGGGGTTAGAACTAGATGATCTTAACATCTCTTCCAACCCAAGCCATTCTACAAGTCCATAATTCTATGAAAATTAATGCAATTCAGTGCAAATTTACAGTACCTTCATCTGGACAGTTAGGCGGGCAGTTCCATATGGAGCACACTTCCCTTTTCAAGGGCTTAAAATCAGAGACAGTCATGGACTAACGCTCACATACATGGAGCAGCAGTTCCAAACATTTGAAGAGAAATAAATGCACTTGTGCAGATCAACTGCATTTCCCAACACATTTAATACTCAAAATAATGAGAATGAGGTGTCTGAATGTATTATACATGTCCATGAATTAAGGAAACCCTGTTGACTCAATGATGATTCAACATTAAAACTCCCCAAGTCAATGTGAAAGCTGGTCAGGTGGAAAGCCTAGCTCTTGGAAAAGTAAATGCTAGGCTCCTACCTCAGGTGCTCTTAATTACTGTGGGATCCATTCACTGTGTTAGATGCACAGTATTAATCAGAACAAAACTATTGTAGTGCCTAATGGAGTTGTGAATTACAGTTTTCTGATTGATGGATAGATTACATGGGATTAGTCCTAATCAGATACTTTAAATAATGAGAATCTCTCCATCCAGCATGGAACTAAGCCACACAAGACTGTGCTTCCCCCAAATCTCAGCAGAGTTTGGATAGGGAAGAACACAAATTAAGTAAATTACTGTAAAAGAATTTTTTAGCTTCATTGGTTCACTTAATACATAAAATAAGCATTGGTCTAACTTCATAGTTAGTGCAAAGATATAAACTTCAATTCAGTGCAAAATTAAACAGAAAAATTTGGCAGTTTAAAAGTGTCTGTGTTCATTCCTTCCATGTTTTAGACATCCTCCAAATCTTGTTGTTATTACATTTCACTAGACAAGTGAACAGTTTAGTTTTATACATCTGAGTCCATATTCTATTTAAATGCTTAGCAATATATTTATTAAAAAGAAATTTAATTGTCTGAAAGCATAATTTCGATCCCTTTATTTATCACAGAATCTCTTTGTAAATACGTCCATTTATTTTAATGGCAGGGCTTTACTTTCTCAAGTATCAAAAATGAGGATGGATAATAAATATATAAAACTGCGCTCTTAATGTTCATGCAAACCACATACGCATAAATTGCATAGCTGCTAAAAACTCTGTAAAAAATAACAACCTATTTAAAAATATTTCCTTTAAAGTAATTGTCTACATTTAATATTTAAGCCTTAGGGAAAAATTAAAGCAACAACACTTTTACTGCGTAACATTCTCATAAAACATTGATGAGCACTTCCCTTCTGATAAGACAGCATTCATCAGGAATTTACTGCATAAAGGTACTAGATGATCAAGGGACAAAGAAAATCATGTCCATAAAGATGACAAAGATGCTGATTAAAAAATAAAAATAAAAACCCAAGAAAATCATCAACAGATTTTAAAATGAGCATTAGTGTTGCCCTATATAGTCTTCATATGTTTTTGAAGATACTGACATCTCTCTAGTCCTGTTTTTTACCTTTACTTTTTTCTACCAATCTAAATCTATTCTTTATGCATTTCCAAATCAGATGCATAGAGCACTCCCAAGCAAGCAAAAGGAAGGAATCAGATCAAAGACAATAAAGCGTGACAGAGAAAGGCAGAGCTAGCTCATAATAATAAAACACAGGAAAACAATCCACTTTTTATCAGTTTGCATGGTGCATGGATTGTAGGGGGAGATGATATTCAGATACTATTATGGAATTAAAATATGGTAGGAGGCTTGAAAAAGCAGAGAGAAAAAAACTCACATTTTACTTGAATATGTACAATCACTATACATACTTTTTTAGTACTGAAGTGCCATAGATAAAAATAGAGCAGTACAGAAAGTAACTCTCTTGTAAAATTAAAGAATTTCACTATGATATAGAACGACTTTTTCGTAATTAAAACACTGTAGAGAATGATATACCTACATTTTGAGATGTATAAGAATCAACTTCAAGTGATTAATCTGAATTAGTTTTATCAGCTTAATTTTAGTTAATGATTCCTGTTTCCTAAGAGTTTCCTTCAGAATCAATCAAAAGAAGTGAGTCTACTCACAGACAGATATACTGCTCTAAATAAGCAAACATTAGTAAGTCTTCAATCATTACCTTTATATGCAAAAATAAGCCCTTCCCCTTTAATAAAATGTATAACTGCAAATACAAATTTAGCCAAAGAGTCAGATGAGTGAGATATTCACAAAGAATGGGATAAAGCTAAATCCTAGGGTTTTCTTTGCTTGCTTGCTTGTTTTGTTTTCCCCAGAATAACACAGTGGGTTTCAGGCATTGGCAGGCATTGGCTTTAACATTTTATTCGCTTTCTGGTATTGTGTAGATATGTTGCTTGAACTAGTTTCATATGAGGTAGTTTCAGGTCTTGGGGAAGGAATGATTGAGCAAATTATTCTTGTTAAAATTGTATATTTGAATGAGCCCCACAGTTTAATCATTACAATTATATTGAAACATGGGTCAGCTGTTGCTAATTTTTAGTAAAACAATATTAAATAAAAAAAAAGTAATGATGTCTTGATGATTTTTAATGGTGAAGTCATCACAGGATAGTAGCAGAGCACTAAAATTCTCTAGTGACATCGTTCACAAAGTTACAAGTAGTAACTCCCATCTATAAGAAACTGCAGAGGAATTTTGGTCATTACCTCCTGAGGCTGGTAAGGTCCATTTGATCGACGTTTTTGTTTTTGATCATCAACTATACTTTTGTGAATATTTTTTAATGATATTGAATAAGTACACGTAAAGATTTTTAACAAGGCAGTGTGGCTAACTCGAGAGTGTAGAGACACCTGTAATTTCCGATTGCTTCAGAAAATTCAGGTTCCACACAAGGGAGCATGACAAACTTAGAAAAGTGTAGAATCATAAAATACAAGATGAAATATCACCAAAGACAGTGATAAACGCAGAATTATTTCCACGCAGAAATGCAGAAAAGGCAGTGGACCTAAAGGCAAGATATGAAATGCATTAAAAAGATATGAAAAGAAGGCATAACAGAGCTCCATGGACATTTAAAACCAATCTGAGGATGGAAATGACAATGATGATTAAAACTGAAGGCAGAAAAAAGAGCTAACCTTTTTATGGGTTCACAATGTTCTCTGTACTCTTGCTTGTAATCATACTCTAGGGTGGCAATCAGTCATGAGGAATGTCCAAAAACAGTAACATCTACCATAAGGGAAGTTATTCCATTCATGCTGTGTGATGAGCCTTTTCCATGATCCATAATTAATTTCTTCTACATCAAAAGTACTCAAATTATACTACACTAGTGTTTAAACACAGTGAGACTCATAAACCTTAAGAATGACAATGCAACCACAGTTAAATAAAAGGAATTTTAAATATAAGATAGATTAATGTTTATTTCAAACACTGGGTTGAATATATTGAAAAGTAATAATCAACAAATGCAAGTCTATGGAGAGGCCACATATTCCGTCTTTTTTTATAATGAGAAGCTAAAATAATTTATCAGACTGCTTCTCAAAAATCACTGCTTATTTCTCCTTCTTGCTGCTTCTTCTTAGCTCTTACCTTCCAGACTCAAATGTGAACCATGTAGAATCACGTCCGTATCTCCTCAAAGAGCTCAGAGGCCACATGACCAACTTGACCTTGGCATTGTGGATGTCCCAGAGATAGATGTTTTCATGTGTGATCTGCATTGTACATTCCCCATAGATATCTAAATTTGGTGTAGGCATAAGATACACATTGAATCGTTCTGGAAAAAAAAGACACAACAAAACATAGAGTAAGGCATTGTCAGTTAAAGTAAGATTCTACACTGGGAAAAAAAATAAAGTCTTTAGTTACAGATGATTCATAAATCAAGGCCAAATTTCTAGACTTGAACAGAGGTGAGGATCCACTGATGTCAAAGAAGCCTTGCTAGTGTACATGAGAGGAGTTAAGAGGAGAATCTTCTTCATTTCATTTTCATTATAAATAATGCAGCAGACTGACATATCTTTCACAGATGATCTGCGTAGTCCTTCTTGACATACATCCCCAGCAACTTAACTGAAGTCCTTTATTCTCACATTAAGGTCCATGACTCTTGGCAAATCAAAATACACAATGACTTGAACTCTGGTAGAGGTTCCTCTCTCAAAGAATAGAACTATAGGTATCTTGGCAAAACATGCATGTACAACCATTGCCCCTTAGAAAAACTGTCCTTGAAATCACAAACCCAGGTTTGCTTATCGAAACTTGTTAATAATTACAATAATTAATTCTTTGTGTTCAGTTTGTATTTATTTGCCAAACTCACTATCATTTGTCAAATTAATAGCATTTTTAATCATCTGTTGCTTTCTTGAAAAATCTGATTCAACACGATATATTGTTATGGTCATGACATCAATTGCTATCAGCTGCAATTCCACTGCAGAGCACACTCATTGCAGTAAGAGGTCAAGGGCATTAACAGTTTTCTGAAGTGTCTGAATCGCATGTGATTTAATAAGCAACGCAAAAACTATCCTTAAAAAAAAAA